TGTATAGTATATATATATATATATATATATATATATATATNTGTGTGTGTATATATATATATATATATGCATATATATATATATATATATATATATATATTTCAAATTATATTCTAAGCATGTAAAGGAACAACAGGTCACATGTACATACCATCTGTAGTTGAGTGGGCCACTGTTTGGTGTATGAGTCTCTCTCCAGATTGTTATAGAACTGCACCGCCGATGTACGCATATCCACAATATCTGTTGAAAAGAACACGTAGCCATATTCACACACCATGGGACGTGGAATATTGAGTTACACACACAGTAAGAAGCTGAGGTATTATATACACATTGTCCTAAAGGAGAAGTAACCGTACCCACACATCACAGGATATGTGTATATGTGTGTATGTATGTACGGGTTTGTGTCTGTGAGTGTCTGTGAGTGAGTGAGTGTGTGTGTGTGTGTGTGTACTGTTTGTTTGTCTGTGTGTGTGTGTACTGTTTGTTATCTGTGTGTGTGTGTACTGTTTGTTTGTCTGTGTGTGTGTGTGTGTGCGTGTGTGCGTGCGTGTGCGTGTGTGTGTGTGTAATATAAATACTATGATATAAAGATAAGCCGGGTATACACTCAACTACGAGTCTATTGTCTCAAGAGCCCTTGGGCATAGACGCACCACCGCATGTGTTCGCCTGGGCGAATGCTGTACACATGATTCGCACTTCACTGCAGTGCCTGACATGTGGGGCGTATGCCTATTCCGTCACATGCTTATTCCGTCACATGCTTATTCCGTCACATGCTTATTTGGGTTATTGTCACATGCTTATTTGGCGCGCATTGAAAATCGTTGATCTGAGCGCATTCTAAAAATAGCTCACCTCCTTCTGTCTCGCCAGAGTCGTCGCCCGCTTTCGAAGTCAGGACGGCGGGGATGTTGGCCATGTTCACTGCGTGGATCAAGAGGAAAGAATCAAATAGAGTTTAGGGTTGTAGGGTATTAGGATTTTAGGGTTTTAGGGTTGTAATAGTGTGTGAGACACACACTAATGGGTGCATGAATGCTGACACATGCGGCGCACATGCACACAACACGACACACAACACACCAGTTGGTTGTATACAGCAACACGTATATCCATCCACAGACATCTTCACCCACACATTATTAATAGTGTGTACGGGCCTATGTACATATACACCCAAATACACCCCCCCCTCCCCCCCCTTACACACCCCACCTACCCCCCTGAGCGCAGCAACGCCTCCATAACCCGCGTATCCTCGCGCAGATGAGCTGCTAGGGCGAATGGATTGATGTCCTTGGTACTGATAGTCCGTCCGTTGATCCACAGGTGTGCGTGTCGTGTGTCGAGTTGCATGTCACGTCGCAGGGTGTCTGCTGCGCTGAGGGCAGCCATGGCCGCACCTGAGTCGAGCTGGACAGGGCCGGGTGGGGCGGGAGTGAGTGAGTGGTATGGGTGAAGGAGACCCTAAACCCTAAACCCTGAACCCTAAACCCCTAAAACCCTAATCCGTACAATCTAAAGCCAATATGGGGTAGTGAACTGCGCATATGTATGGGATTGTTGGGTACTTGTTGATGGTCATGTATGGTTGTGTTGTTTAATGTTTGAGTCCTGTATGTGCCTTATGCTTCGACAGTGTGGCTGGTGGAGGGTAGTGCATTGTGCGTATTTGTGTGTGTGAGCTTCGCCAGTGGATGTGTTGCGTTGTGCTTCACCCCTTACAACTGCATATGTAGTGCATGTTAGTATACTTTACCTGTATAGGAGTGCGTGCGCGTACGAGAAGAGTTCGTGGTGTGGGCGCGGGTGCATAGGGTTTAGTCTAAACCCCTAAACCCTAAACCTTTAACCCTAAACCCTATATAGTTGCAGCCCCTCTGCCAACCACACGGAGTCACCGTAAATACGCACGCACGTTCTCCGCCATACCACACACAGGTTTCGTACAGGGTTTAGGGTTTAGAATTTTCATCCCCTTTATACTATCCATCATATACACACAACAATAGCATGCACACCTCACATCTACTAATACACACGTGTAGCACACATACACCATTATATTGTCAATCACGTACACGCATGCATACTACGCACACCCCACACTTGCGAATATACACACGCATGCATCTCCAGACATACACACACATCCATTGAACACACACGCACAGTACACCACCTGTACATTCTTGACAAAATCAATCCGTATGGGGAAGTTGTGCGCCAAATCAGTCATTGTGTGCAGTGCGTGGTGTGGCTGTGTCTGTGCTATCAGTTGGGCTGCCTGCAGACTCAGATCTGAACAAACATGGAATATGATAGAAGAAGCATTTAAGTACCAACGTTATGTGAACAAGCACGGATTATGATGGAAGAAGCATTGAAATACTAACGTTATGTTGTGTGAACAAGCATGGATTCTGATGGAAGAAGCATTCAAATACTAACGTTATGTGAACAAGCATGGATTATGATGGAAGAAGCATTTAAATACCAACGTTATGTGAACAAGCACGGATTATGATGAAAGAAGCTTTGAAATACTTACTTTATGTTGTGTGAACAAACATGGATTATGATGGAAGAAGCATCGAAGTACCAACGTTATGTGAACAAGCATTGATTATGGTGGAAGAAGCATCTAAGTACTGACGCTATGTGAACAAGCATGGATGATTGGATGATGCATGCAAGTGCGTGCGACAACTATTTAAGCTTTTAGGGTTTTAGGGTGTAGGGTTTTAGTCCACTGTGCATACCTTTAATTTCGTCCTCCGTGGCTGTCTGTAGTTCGATGACATTCCCCTGGGTGTTTTTGTTGAGTTCAATGGCAGCTGTGGGTATACACACAATACAACCAATGAGTCATCGATGAGTCATGAGATCCTATGATGAGCCGAATAGCAGATATGGATACAGACACAACACAACACAACACAACCCACACAACACAACACAACCCACACAAACAACACATCACAACACAATAACACATCACATCACAA